TTTCTTAAGGTTATTTTTTAACAAAGAAAAAAAAAAAAAAAAAGAAAAAAAAAAAACTTAGTAATTTGTACATGCAATATTTCATGAATAAATATAAATAGCAATGAAGCTGCTGAGTCTGTTTCTCCAGGTCTGTATTTCATCTTATTTGATCAGCTTATACCTTCTCAACAAATAAAACTGTAGAAAGCAACTGTGGTTGCAACATTAAATATATGTGCTGAGACAAGATAGAGTAAGAGCCATGTGCTGATCTATTCTCCCTGAGATCCAGCGACATGATGTGAGGGAATGGTTCAGACTTGTGTCACAGCAGGTTTAGAGTGGACATGAGGAAGCATTTCCTTACTGCAAGGGTGGTCAGACACTGGAACAGCCTTTCTAGAGAGGTGCTTGATGCCACAAGTCTGTCAGTGGTTGAGGTACTTGGACATTGCTTTTAACAACATGCTTGAACTCTTGGTCAGCCCTGAATTATTCAGGCAGATGGAATAGATATTGTTGTAGGCCACTTCCAACTGAAATAGTCTATTCTGTCCATTCTATTTTATGTCAAGTACATATCATTACAAATTGCTAGAGACTATGATAACAGATCACATTCACTCAATGGTATGACAGCAGCTCTGAGTTGCTCTGAAACCACAGCAGTGTGTATGGGACTGACAATAAACCCATTTATGGAACACCATTCTTGCTCTCCAATCACATTCTGATTTTCCAAATTTGTTCTGGTTTCCAGAACTGACAGAATTTTAACATCAACAAGCACACATACAAGGTCTCTCAAATTAGAAACAATTCATTTGAAATTGCTATGCAGAGAGAACAGCAAGTTTCAGCTCCAGGAAAGCTACATAGATGTGTAAGCATCATCCACTGAGAAAAAGGGGTTTAAAGTTTTGCAGTTTCTGAGTAACAGGCTCCTTTGGATCCCTTCTCCTAAGAGCACTACAAACAGCCAGTATTCCCTTTCTCATGTCCCAGTTTTGACCTACAGCTAACTATGCCCCCTTTGAAAGCAACGTTTTAAAAACTTACAGGTCAGTTTTGCTTGGGTTTTTCTAATATAAACATGCCACCACATTTTCAAGCCCATCCATAAACCTGTTTGCCATCCATACGTCACGCACACAGTCCCATCTGAACGACAGGCTTAGAAATCTCAATTTAAATGGAAAGCTTAAAAAAAACTTCAAAGTTTCTCATAGCTGTGAGCTTATGTGAATCCTTGAATCACAAAAAGGTTACTACAGTACTAGTTTAAATACATACCACAAACAAACAAGCTCACACTGAAACCACTTAACTGAAACTGAGCACATAACTCTTTTGGAAGTGAAAATCTAGTTTAACTTCACATTTGTGGTTTGAGCTTATTTCTCTAAATCATATGAAAAGAACAATGATTCCCCATGTATATTTCCTCCCATAACAGTCAGTGAGAAAACAATTTTTCCCTCAAGTAATTGCCACATACATAAAAGCAATATTGTACAAAATGCAATGACTGCTTGCAAGGGCAGACAAAACAGGCCTATTTTATGCACACCCCAGGGTCTGTTCATTCTTTACAGTTTCATCCCTTGTCACTGGAGTTCCTCTCACCCATTTGCCGCACTTTGTCACAGAATGAGTTTGATGGGACCAAAACAATCTCGTTACTCATCAGCACAATAGGATGTTGTTTATGCAATACACAGTGAAATGAAAGACAAAGAAGGAAGCAAAATTTATACTTTTTATTAACTGCAGTTGTCTGGCACCTAACACAACCATTAACACAAGTGTCCACTAAGTCTTTGAAGAAAAAGTATCTCTCCGTTTTATTTACTGATTTCAGTCACCAGAGCCTATCACTATGGTTCCCTTACCTCACTATAGCAAAGTCCCTAGAGTTTTTGGGGTTTTTTTCCCCAAAATCTAGCAATACCTCTCATCACATCCCAGTAGAAAACTACTCTGCATGAAAAGCAAGGTATTTTCTGTTTGGCCTTTAGTTCTGTGAATGCATTGCTGCTCCAAGAAAACCCTGCTGGTACTACTCTTCTGTGCTTCCTACCCATGCAGATGTTCTGTAACTACACAGTAAAATGCCAGGACAAACACATGTTAGAACTATCTCTATCAGTAATTAAAGTTTCATTGTTGTGTAATAGACATTGTTATGTGGAACAATGACTTTCTGTAATTCTACCAGCACAACATCATTGAAATGAAGGTCCCTCTTTGAAGTTCTCTTTTAAAAGGACTTCAGGATAATTTACAATGTCATCTTACAAGACAGTTCAAAAGACACTTTAAATAAAAAATTTGTGATTGGTTTGTTTGTGTGAAGTATTCTGGTGGTAGTATCACAATGGTCTATTTTTATTCCAAATTGGTTTTTATTTGTAAAAAAGTTCCATCCCTGTAAAGCTAAGGCTTGCAACATTGATTTCCATGGCACTGTTTGGAAAGATGCTGCAGAAGAATAATGTGGATGTCAGGGCATTTTATATAGCAGTAGCAAGGTTCTGTGAGCGGTCTGGGCAGCGGATTTGCTCCAGGTTGTTCTGACTACAACATGTAGTATTTTACCAAAATGAGTAGGACACCCATACAGTGAGATACAATAAGATTCTGAGTAGTCAGAACACCACCAAGTAACACTGGGCAACGAGACACTGCTCAGTAAGAACAGAAACTTGTACATCCCACAGATTATTCTGTCTGCATGGACGACAGTTTCAAATGTAGGAAATTAAATTTTAGGTTAAAAAAAAGACCTGACTTGAACCAACAAAACAAGTCAGGAAATTAAGTAGTCGGACACTCTTTTCTTGGGTCTCCCATTGTGGCAAGCTTTTATTTGCAGAAAGGACCATTCCACAGTCCTCCCAAAAGAAGATACATTGATGTGCCTTAATGAAGTAGCCACAGAGAACAAGTTCTTCTTGGAATTGTGAAGAATTGTCAACCACTTCCTTAATTTTCCAGCATGGTATCAGTTCATCAAAGAGCAATTTGAACTGCAACGGGCAGTGAAAAAGCATCTTGAAAGGGACATCAATGGAAGGGACATCAATGAGCCCTGAAAGAACATCTTGGAAAGGACAGTAGAAAACATCTTTATTTACATATATCCAGGCAGCACAAAGCTCCTGTACCAAAATGTATGAAAATCTGCCTAGGCTCCTTTCTGTGGATGCAGCATAGAATTTCAACACAGAGAATTTATTTTCATAGTAGTCTTCATAAATGCAACCCAAGTCTTCGAGGTTAGAAAATAACTCAATTTAAAAAAAAGTATTACTAGACCAAGAATCCTCCACTAGGTCATGCTTTTCTGCTTTTAACAAAACTGAGCAAAGGGACCCCCCCATCCACCAGACTGCCAGCTCAGAACACTGGATATTCAAAATGGTTTCATACAGTTTTACTTCTGAGAAGAGACATTGTTGAAAGCCATTGTTCAGCCAGCCAACTACTGTCACTTCCATGAATATGAATAAGCTCCAATATAGGCCACTGAGTTTTTGCAAATGTAAGAAGATCCAATTGTTCAGTTATTCTTTGCCAATAATTCAACCCACCATTATTTAAAGATTTTTGTTTTCCTCTGGTGTCTGAATATGTGGGTGGAATTTTGTTTTCAAGTCCCCTTCTTCCCATTTTCATAAAGGCTTTTTTTCATATCACCTTTCTAAGTTTTCAGAGCAGCTGAAGGAATCCTAGTGTCAATGTGATGAGGCCCTTGAAAAGATATATATTGCTGTTTCTCCTGATAATATTAACTAGCACCTAATCTGAGGAAAAGAGAGAGCAGAAGAAATTGTTCAGAGTTCATGAAAATTAACATTCGGTATAATTTTGTAGCCATAATTTGCATGTACACAATTTAGACATAAATACATATGGATTAATGCAAATTTTCATACCAGGAAAGATTCGCTGTGCTCTGTAAAACTAAGGGTAAGGCTGGTGATGAATCATTTTTTTAAATATTCTAGTCTGGGTATATAAATAGCTCTCTGTTTCTAGAATAATTACTACTGAAAAACACAGCTTCTTAAATAACCTAGGCCATAATTAACCTTCGCTTCATTAAATCACAAATAATATCTTTTTAAAGTCTTATTTGTAAAGGCAAGCTAATTAATTTAAACGTTTCCCTTCTGGAAAAAAAAAAAAAAACCAAAAAAAAAACAAAAAAAAACAAACCCAAAGAAACCTAATTGGAATGATTTACCAACGTCGAACGTCGCTACTTTTCAGATCTTCCAACGGCTGGGAAGGCTTTCAGCCGGCTCCCTCCCCCGCTGCCCGGCCCCCCGAGGGAGCTCCCGTTGCCGCCCCGGCCCTGCCTCCCTGGATGCTCAGGGAGAGGTGCCCGCTTGTGCCCGCGCCTTCCGCACCGCTCCCGCCACAGCCGAGTCCCCTGCCCGGCCCCTCGGTGCCCCTCCCTGCGGCCGGGACCCTTCCGTGCCCTGTGCCACCGCCTCCACGCGTGGCCCTGCTGGTGGCACCGGGGCAGCGGTGCGACCCTGGCCCGGCCTGCCTTCCGCACCGGCGGAGCCAGGAGCGCTGGGGAGCCCCCATGCCGTGCTCTGCCCTGCCGTGTCCGGCCGTCCCTTCGCAGAGCGGCTGCGGCCCCGGCCCGGGCAGCCCTGAGCGCACGGCCGGGCCGGGCTGGGCCGGGCCGCGCTGGGCCGGGATGGGCCGGGCCGGGCTGGGCCGGGCTGGGCCGGGCCGGGCTGGGCCGGGATGGGCCGGGCCGGGCTGGGATGGGCCGGGCACGGCGGCGCCGCCGCCGCCGCACGGCGCCGTCCCTCCTCCCCTTTCCTTGTAAGACAGCGCCAACCCCCGACCGAAGAAAAGTTTCCAGCCGAGCGCCAGGACAGGTCCGGGCTGTCACGGGCGCCCCCTCCCCGCCGATGGGCCAGCACGATCCTTCCTCAGCCCCGTCCCGTCCACGTAGCCAATCCCCCCGCGCCGTGGATGCCGCCCGAGGCTCTCACCTTCCTGCACCGCATGGAAGGGATTGTTGGCCTCTATGAGCTTGATGGAGTAAGTGATTTTCTCGCTCTGGAGGATGTCGTCATTGAGGTTCAGATCCGACACCGCCTGCTTGAACACCTCGTCGTCCTTGGCAGCATTGCCTTCGAAAATGGCACCTGAGGGGAGGAAGGCGGCAGAAGGTGAGGAGGGCTCGGCCCGCCCGCCGCTCCCGGACCCCCGCTCCCCTCTGGGCCGTGCAGGGCTCTCGCCGGCTCGCACGGCACCGGGTGGGGCAGCCCCAAGGGCACCGAGAGCCTGTGGGGCCGGGCCACACTCGTGGGCGGCCTCGTCCCGGGCACGGGGAAGCGCAGCATTCCTCCCGGCCACTTCTGCTCCACCGGCATTTACGGAGCCCTGAACCAGAGGCACGGCGGGGTGATGGACTAGCTTCGCCGGTGACGGGAAGGGGAGCAGGCTTGGAAACTCCAACAACTTTTTGCTCACTGCTCGCCTCTCCCTGAGATGCTGCCTTTCGGGCCGTGGTTTTATTGAGGCTTACAGGCGCACACGAACGTGCAGCCGGGATTTGTGTCCGGTAACCTGGAAGCTTTAATTTCACTGTCCTGTTTATGCAGTTAACGTGAAAACATCTGGCGATGTGTGTTACATAAAATCCCTCTCCACGGAGCGTGTGTGTGCCCACGCCAGGCTTACTGCCCTGCTCTACGCGGCGCTGGGAGATCTTTAGAGCTGGCAACAAAACAAGCAAAAAACATTATTCCCCAGCCTGGAAAAGTCCTGCTGATTCACACCGTGCGTGCCTGTGGCTTGAGCCTCCGTGCACTGCCCGTGTACATCACAGCTCCGCACACAGCAGCTCCCCGCTCCTGCCCAGCGGACCGCTCTTTCTGCCAGCACTTAGTTAGCAAGCAGCACTCGGGCTGAACTTCGTGCGGGGAGAGGCCGAGCTGACACGGTCCAAGCGCAAGAGAAGCGGGGCCGAGAGCGAGCCCCGCTGAAGCTCCTTCGCCCACTCTTCTGCCCCGGCCGTTCCCTATGAGGTCTGGCCCCAGTGCCGCGGGGATCTGCCCTGCCCTGGGGACTGCCCCCGGGCCGGAGCCCCCGCTGCGGTCAGGGCTGACCCCGTCTCCTTAATGGCTCCGCAATGCTGTCTGCCTTGGCTGCGCCCCCAGGCTCCGGAGGCGAGTGGCGACGACCGGAGCCTCCTTCCCACCGGCCCCCGAGCCGTCGGTGCCGGGAAACTTGTAACAGGGCTGGTCCCCTTCTCCCCTTCCCTGCCTCGGGTCGACACGGGACTTTCTTCCCGTCTCCGTGGAGCCTCCCCTGGCCAGGATGGCTCCTACTCCGGCCCCCTCCTTTTTCTGATCTCCCATCCGCCCCGAAAGGCTGGTGGGAATTACGGCTTTTCATTTCCCGGCCATACTCCCGTTTCCTCCTCTATCATCCTCCACAAGTGATTCTCGCCCCCCTCTCCGCCCCTAAACATCCTCATTTTCGTTCCTGCTGGTACCTTTCAACACCAGCCAAAAGGTGACTGCAGAGCCTCGCTTCTGCTTGCCAGGCTTCCCGCGGACATCACCATGCCTTGCTCCCAGAAGCCATAAAAGTTCACATCAGCCTTTCCTTTGCCTCTTATTCATCCCTCTCTTCCTCCCACTGATCCAGCCTTCTTGCTGCCCAGGGGTTTTAATGAGATCTTATTCAAACCACAACAGTTGCGCGCATAGAGACACACACACACACACACACACTCACACACACTCTCACACACACTCTCACACAGAGCCGCTGCAAAGCTCGCCTTTCTAACCCTTTCCCAGCCAAGTTCGCCCCTCCGCCCCCCGTATTCCGGCTTGGCTGACACCTGCTACGGCAGAAGATGGAAACCAGGGGATTATCTCCCCGAAAGTTTTCCCTGCGAGCACGTTCAGATTATGCCTCTCTCCTTCTAGGGTGATGGGGGCGGTTGTTTGTTTTCGGTGGCGAGGAGGCGGGGGGTGGGGGGGAAGAAAGCCTTTCCACGCAAACAGGTCCAAGCACAGACTCCCCAGCCACATGGGAGACCGCAGCGGCGGCCCCGGCGGGTCCCCTGCCCGCTCCCGGCCCGGCGCACAGGCGGCATTTCGCCCCTAACTTTACAATCGGGGGCGGAATACAGCTGCCTTCCTCCCATCCGTCCTCCTGTCTCTCCGTAGAGTTGGGTTCCACCGCTGCCCGTGACATTATCGCGGCTAAACGAGACGCTTCCTTTATATATTTATTTATTCATCTACCGCGTCCCTCTCCAAACCCCCCCCCCCCGCTCCCTCTCTTACCAATGTGGATGATGGAGTCCGCCCGCACCGAAACGCACTGAAATATCCAGGGGAAAAGCCAGAGCATCAACACTTCCATTTCCAGCCTCTCGCACAGCACATCAGCCCGGGTTTGGTGGAGAGACAGGGGGAAAGAAGAAAAAAGGCGCAAGGGCAGGTGGAGCAAGGCAGCGGGCGCAGGAGGGAGATGCCCAGACACCCTCTTAGAAAAAAAAAATCTCAAAATCCCCCAGCGCCCCAAGATTTTCCAAGATTGAGGAAAACGAGCAATGGGGAGGGGAAAAAAAAAATCCAGGGAAAAAAAAAACCAAAAAAAAAAAAAAAAATAAAAACCGGGGCTAGAAAATCACGGAGGTAGATCCCGGGTTGGCAGGCGGCGCGGCGGAGCCTCCAGCGCTCGGTGTGTGCCGGGGCGCCGGCAGACCGCGAACTGCGGAGCGGCCCCCCCGCCGCCGCCGCCCGCCCCCCGCGCCACGTGACTGCGGAGCCTCGGCGCTCGGTGCCGCCGGGGCACGGCGCGGCGGGCGGGCAGCGAGCGGGGCACACCGGCCGCGCCGGGGCCACGCCAGGGCAGCTGGCAGCGATGGAACAGATTTAGATACAGCCAGAATTATATATATATATATAATGTATGTCTTCCCGAAGAGAGGGATAGGGGACGGATGCTCCAAGCGCAGGGATGCGAGGCGGGTGGGCAGCTCCCGGTTGCCGGGCGCAGGTTGTTCCGCGGGGCCGCAGCCCCTGCCCGAAGGGTGCCCAGCGCTGCGCGGCCTCTCCCGCAGCCCCCGGCCGGCCCGGCACCGCGGGACGCCCCCGCAGGTAAGGGCGCGGGGCTGCGCCCGCTGCCGCTCCTCCAACTTCAGCGACGGGGGGCGGCGCGACGGCACCGCGCCGAAGCGGGAGGTGGAGGGAATGCCCCTTCCTCCTTCCACACGCTCGAGCCCGGGACGTGATCCGTGTTTGAGGAGCGAAATGGAAATGCGAGCTTTTTATCCCCGCGTTGGGGACGAGGTGATGGGGAAGAGAAGTGGTACAGCAGAACCTTTTCTTGTTTTGTTTTGTTCTAGCTTTCAATGAAATCTAATTCATAAATTGGACATGCTCAGACTCAGAAGACTAATTCATCCCGTAAAACAAACGCATCAGTGATTGCAGGCACCCAAACGTGACAAGCGTCTCAATATACCGGGGATCCAGAGAAAACAAATTCATTCAGGAGCCCGAAACGTAATTAAAACTACTGCCAAGAGAATGAGTTGAGAGCAGGATGTTACCAAGATTATTAAGTTGCTGCGGGGCTGAGGCACGGACCGCTATAGTGATACATACAGATAATGTCAGTCTTTGGATAACGGGAGGAAGAGCGATTCCTGGAGGTCGCCGTCTTGCAAGCGCAAGCCTGGTAACATCGCGCCGTGGCCGCATCCTGCTCCCCAGATGGCACCGGCGAGCCCGGGGGTTCTCCGGGGGAAGGAGCGGGGCCCCGCCGCCCGCTGAGCCCCGGCAGAGCGGCCGCAAAGCGGCCGGCGGTGCCCGTACCCCTACAGCATCCCTGTGATGTGGGTTCAGCACACTTTTTATAGCCATCACCTGTACGTGCTCTAGTAAATGCTCCTGATGCTGAGCAGTGCTTGCTTGCAAGACCGATCGCTGCAATGTATTTATTCAATGTAGGAAGCGTTTTTTTCATGCACAGCATAGTACAGCAAGAACTGCTCAATGCTAAGGAGAAGGAAATATAGATAAGGGGGCTGGGGAAGCAGAACGGAGAGGGAACACACAGTATAGATGGAGCAGAGGGAAAGGGAAGGAAGCTGAAATGGAAATGATATGAACAAGAATCCCTGTTGATCCACATGCATCAACAACCTCTTATTCAGCTGTAGTTATAAGCACAGCATTCAAAGGGCAGGGGGTAAATAAAAGAAGATATGCTTTTTAAAAATAAATCACTTGTTAACTACTCTTACTTACAGTCTTTGTCTTAAATATGCAATTTCACACTGATCAATGCAGAATGATATATACTATACTCTGCATTTCATGTAATAAAAACACTTAATCCAGATAATTGGCTTCTGGGACAGAGATCAATAGAAATGTTCCTTATTTGACTACGTTAGCAAGTCAAAATTAATTCTAATTTACATTTGCTTCAAATCAATATGCACTTAGTGACTTACACAGGCTCTTTAAAAAGTTAAGCACCTATATTGACCAGAGTCATATATATGTCAGTAACAAGTACATGTGTGGGAATTAGAGAGGGGGGAAGTGTTACTGCAGAACCAAGTCTCTGACTTTCATAGAGGAAAGGAGGCTAAATTTATTTGTGTTTGAGAAGTGCTTTGGCATCCTAGTCTAAAACCTGTAGAAATATGCAGCTATTAATCCCACGATTTATGCAGGCACCCAAACACCAGTCAATTGCACTCCAAGCACTTGGGAGCAGGCTTGCCTCCTACTTTAGTTTGTATAGTGAGGTCTTGACCTCAGCTGGGGCGCCTCTGGACGCTATTTTAGTAATAGAAAAATAGTAATATAAAATATTAAAACTCTAAACCCAGTGAATTGGACAAGTTACAAAATTTCCTGTGAAATCCAAGAGCAAATGCTCTGAATGCAGAAAAGGACCCAGTCCCAGCCAAGGGAAGGAGAAAGGAGAAGACAAGAGACCAGAATGCAGTAAAACAGACACACTGAAATAGGCCCCACAACCAGACAGAAGGCTACAATCAGAAGACAAAAACCAGAAAAACACATAGAAGAAATCTCAAATACTATAAAATATGACATGTAACATGCAAAGTAAAATGAAACCTAAACGGATCCACCTCAGCAAAGAAGATTGCAGCTTCAGTAGCATCTCTGCAAGATGAAAAGTTGCCACATCAAAACTTCGTGTCTGATTTTAATTCAGGTTGCTGTAGCTTTTCTTTGACATTCTTTGCATTTTTTTCCTTTCTCCTCTCCTTACACTTTTTTTTTTCCTAAACAAAAAAAAAAAAAAAATCCCAACTTTGGCTGGGATTATGTTTTTCATAACAATTACTTCTTCTCCTGTGACTTCCCCTCCTTCCAAACAAGCTACCAATGCTACATTTCTAAGCCCAGAGCGCTCCTTTCAACGCTGCCATTCCTTGTTGCAGTCGGGGGAGCGCTGACACTTTGCAATGGGTGTACATTGTTTAGGTGCAACAATCACTAAAAAGCACTAAAAAACAAGCACTAAAAAGCCAATGCCTTTGCCAACATTTTGCATATTAAGAATGTTCCAAGATGCTGTGATGTTCCATCATTATCATGTAGGGGACAACTCATGAAACATTATTCCACACAGTACCATTGGATTTACAGTGCCCATGGAAGAATGACATCCCAACAGAAATACACAGTGTAAAAACCCAACTCAAACAACAGCCACATAATCACAGTTCAACTCTGTGGCAACAGATGTGATTCTGTGCGTGTCTCAGACAGCGCTTACCACCTTTGCAAACCACTGTGGTGATTTTAAGCTGACCTCTCATGAGTTATTGCTGTGCTCATTTCTGTTGTCTGAATGAACATAGCATCAAACCTGTACCAAATGGGTTTTGCTACAACAAGAGTAATGCTCCAAAAACTGCATTGCAATTAGAAACACAGAACATTCTAGAAAGGTGAACTGAAAGGCCTGTGCAGTGTCACACTCAGAGTGTTGTGCCCTGGGCTCTGTCCCTCTGTGCTGCCATAACAAGAACGAAGCACATTTTGAAAGACATCATCAGAACCACGGCTGCAGGATATGCCTGGATCTGGAAAGAACCTCACATTTACAAAACTGCTTCATAAGCAGGATTGAGACTTTTATCATAGCCTATGTTCAGAATAAATGGAGGGCTTTAAGATTCAGCGTTTCTTGAGTCTTCTCCCATGTTTCTCCCATCTTCTACAGCTACATTGAGGCTTCCCCACATAAAAGCAGGTATATCTCTATTTGTGTACATGTAGCAATGATTTATTCCTTCTGAAAGCAAATGGAACTCCTCCTCTGTATCAGTTAAACAGGTGTAAAAATGCAGCTAATACCTCCAATTGTTAACTGCTCAGTCTATGGAGTTGGAAGAATGAAAACAACGAAGTATCCTAATACACATGGTAACAATCTCCTTTCCTTCCCCAATAGCCAAGAAGTCTACTGTTAACACACCCACAAAAAAGTGAATTTCTTATTATAAAATGCCATGAAATTCAACAGCTGTGCTCCTCTTCAGGAACAGTAATGCAAAACCTCAAGCCTAACTTAATTCCAAAGTTTGGGGATGCTTATATTTAAAAATTTTTGTCATCCTCCTGTGGTGACAGCCTGAGGTTTCAGTTGTTTTATTGAAGCTTCCTTTAGCTTACTGAAACCACCTTTTCTCTTTTCATGGTTGATAGCATAGCATGATAATCCTGCAGGAGTAAATGGACTAGAGTCTGCAAGAAGAGACTGATGAATTAGAGAATTCTTTGCAGGACAGTTGACATTCTTGATTAATTTGTTGTGTGCCTACTAACAAGCTGAGACTTTGCTACAGTCAACACTTTATTTGGATTGACATGCCTTTTAAGATGCCATAAAGAAGGCAAAGAATTGTTATTTCCATATTTTTTGCCTGATTTAATTCAGCAGAGTACACCCAGCCTAGATGTGATTTAATACATACTTATGTTTGCTTAATTTCACCACTTCAATATCTGCTGCATCTTGATAAGATCCACATATACTTCCCTACTCCTCTCTTTCAACTGTGACTTTTCACATCCTATTTTTCTTTAATGGGCATTTTCTTTACAATAGACAAGGGTCCCTATAGGCCATTCCAGCCTCCCACATTTTTATAGATGCATAAATGCACTTAATGTAGTGCAAAGCAAATTGTATCACTGTTGGTAAATTTAATCTCTATCTTGTCATTTGTATTTAATTAACACTTTGATTCAGAAGAAAAGGAGTCTCTTTATTCACAACATTTTAATATCACAAATATGTGTTTTATTGAGACTCTAACGCACAAGTGACCAAAGAATCCTTTGTTATTACTGTAAGGGATG